GTCTCCTCTAGGGGCGTGCATGGCTGGGGCCCCCCCGACCCTGGGCTCGGAGGTGGACAGAGACTGAGGAGGGATGCTGGGGGTGGGGGGCAGGGGGAGGGTGATCTGAGAACCTCGTCACAAAAGAAGGGAACAGGTACCCAGACAGGGGTTTGGGGAGGTAAAGCCAGATGGTGACAAAGTGTGAGGAACCCTAAGTCTTGGGCGTCTAGACTCCTGGGTCTGAGGGAGGAGGGCTGGGGCCTGGACCCCTGGGTCTGAGGGAGGAGGGGCTGGGGGCCTGGACCCCTGGGTCTGAAGGAGGAGGCTGGGGGCCTAGGGGCTGGGGGCCTGGACCCCTGGGTCTGAGGGAGGAGGGGCTGGGGGCCTGGACCCCTGGGTCTGAGGGAGGAGGGGCTGGGGGCCTGGACCCCTGGGTCTGAGGGAGGAGGGGCTGGGGGCCTGGACCCCTGGGTCTGAGGGAGGAGGGGCTGGGGGCCTGGACCCCTGGGTCTGAGGGAGGAGGGGCTGGGGGCCTGGACCCCTGGGTCTGAAGGAGGAGGGGCTGGGGGCCTGGACTCCCGGTTCTGAGGACAAAGGTTGGGAATGGGAGTCAGGTTCCTGGTCCCTGAGGCTGGGATGGACCGGCCAAGTGAGGTCTGGGGTGGGTGGGGGTGTTGGACATGGGAGTTTGGGGTCCACAGGGATGGACCAGTGAACAAAGCAGCCGCCCCTCCCGCTCCTTCCGGTCCTCCTGGGTGCTCCCAGCAACATCCTCACTTATCCCCAGCACTTTTCTCTGCCAAGATGCCAGGACCTGCCAAACCAGCTGTGCCAGTTGGGCATTCCCTCAACCCCCCAACACACACACACACACACACACACACACACACTCTCTTCCTTCCCTCCAGTGGCTCCAGGGCGGCCTGGGCCCAGCCCCGAGGGCGAGGGCGGTGAGTAGGTGGGCGGAAGGCCACCTCAAGTGGGAGAACAGGACATCCAATCACTGCTTCATCATCCGCCTCCCGCCTCCCCTCCCGCCTCCCCTCCCGCCAGCCCTGCTGGTCCTGCTCGTCCCTGCCTCTCCTCTCGTCCTCCTGCCCTGGGCCAGGGGTGCCGCCCCACTTCCTCCTGGGGCTGGCACTTCCTCTTTGGCCCTCAGTCCCCCCAAACCGGCTCCACCCAACATCCAACCTGCCCTTTGTGCTCCTTGTGATTCATTCATTCATTCCTTCCTTCATTCATTCACATATTCAGCAACTCCTACAGGACAGCACCCATTCAGCGCCAGGCGCTGGGAAAACAGTGGTGGACAAATGAGTGACCCCCCCCACTCCCCCCAAGACGTCCTCCCTAACAATCCTGGAAC